AGCCAAGAAAAACATTGTGCTTTTAAAGCATCTTTAGGGGAAGGGGATATAGTCTAAACCACACACACACACACAAAAAAAAAAAAAAAAAAAAAGCATTTCTTCTTGAGGAGTCCTACAGATAGTAGAAAGAGTACCAGATTAGGACTCAGGACTCAGTAGGCCTTGCTCAGTCCCCAGTTAATAAGAGAGTAGGGTACCAGCTGTCAGAGTTTGCTTGGGAATTGGGATGTTCCTGAATCATGGGGGTTTGGGTTTTCAAACTATGATAGTCCAAGGCAAACCAGAATGAGTTGGTCACTCTACCCAGGAGCCAGGGGTGGAAGAATCATGAGGCCCTGGGTGAGAACAGTGGGGTAATATAGCACCTACTGTATACTGAATACATTATTACTTTATTTAATCTTTATAACAGCCATGCAAGATGTTATTACTGATAAGGTTAGTGGTAAGAATACTGAAGCATAAAGAGAATAAATAAATCACTATGTCCATAGAATATTATACAGTTAAAATTTGAATAATAGCTTTCTTTACAAAGCTTGGATTCTTTCCCACTGTATCTTACTCCTATTTAGAAAGACTGCTTCTGAGAGCCTAATTTACTTCACCTCTAAAACAAGCAAAATCAATTATAAGAAAGCTTCTAATTCTAAGAGTTTATGGATTCTAAAAATAATTGTTTTCTGTATGTATTCTCTGAAATACTAACTCCATGCAGAGAGAAGGGATATTCCTTAGGGTTTATTTGGAAAAAAATAAGTTATGCAAAAGATTCTTTAATGGATAACATTTCAAAGCCTTTAATCTACTTTTTAGCACTATTAGCCTTATCAGGTCTCAATACACATCTTAGGATTTTTATTTTTAAAATACGTTTTGGAAAATCCAATAAATGTTGTCAATATACTCTTTTTCTCATTGCTTAGATTAATTTTTGAAATTTTGTTTTTAAGGTTTAAATGTGAAAAGCTGATTCTTGTTGGAGACCCCAAACAGCTGCCTCCTACTATTCAAGGTTCTGATGCAGTTCATGAAAATGGATTGGAACAAACTCTTTTTGATCGACTTTGTATAATGGTACATGTTGCTAAGTACTTTCAGCGTTATCACACATGATTATACATGGTACAGCAGAATGGAAATATTAGAAAACCTGGTTCTTTTTCTTAATTAGTTTATAATTGGAGTAGCTTAAAAGTACTTGTCGTGACACACGACTAAACCAATTAGGGTCACTTCATGTGAACTGGGCTGGCATGAAATAATAACACACAAAGAAATACCTTTTTCTTTGGATTCTGTGATGGCCCCTCTGACCCAACTCCCACAAAAGAGGCAAGGCAGGCAAGAAAGAGAGAGAATGCGCCTCAAACCCAGGTTTTATTAATGGGGGAGCTAATCCATGGAATATTCTATCCAAAAAAGGGCAAAAGGGTAGGATTACAACAAACAGGTCAACCCCATCCGGTGACGCCCACTCCCCGAGCTACAACTTTCTTATCCAAGCAGAGGTAAAGTCCACGTGCATTGCAGGGTGCAATACCAAACCAGTTCCTCTTTACTCAGGATTTAAAGGTGTGTGCATAGCTCCTGTTCAAGGGGGCTCCCCAGACAAGTATCATCTTAAATATACCTAGAATCCTGTGATTTTAACATGACTTTATAGAAAGGATATTTTCCCTATGTACTTCAGTAGTGGGTAGTAAGTACATTGCTCTTGCTTTAAAATGTAAGAAACTTTTAATGCTACTGTTATCCATGTGGAGCTCTTTAAAAAATAATTAGTATATTTTAAAATGGAGGGGAAATTCAAATAACATAAAAGTAAATAATTCAAATTCAAATAACATGAAAGTGAATAATTCGGTGGTGTTTAGTTCATGCATAATGTTGTACAACCATCACCTCTTTCTAGTTCCAGAACTTTTCCTTGTCTTATTTTAGCAGTTATTTTCCTCTTCTCCTGCCCCCTGGTGATCACAATTCTGCTTTTGGTCTATATGAATTTGTCTATGCTGGATTTTTCACATAAATGGAATATGCAATATATGATCTTTTGTGACTGGCTTCTTTTACTCAGTACAATGTCTTTGGGGTTCACCATCTTATAGATCAGGACTATGTTTTACTTTTTTTCCCTATAGTACATTTGTGTTGTACAAGCATCACCTATCCATTTCCACAGCTTGTTTATCATCTCAAACAAAACTTTGTAATTTTTAAGCAATAATTCTCTATTCCCCCTCCCCAACTCTCTAGCTAGTAACCTCTAGTGTACTTTCTGTCTCTGTGAATATGTCTAATCTAGATGCCTCATGTAAAAAAAAAAAAAAAAAATATATATATATATATATATATATATATATCCTTTTGTCTTTGACTTATTAACTTAGCATGTTTTCAAGATTCATCCATGTTGTACCATGTGCCAGAATTTCATTCCTTTTTTAAGGCTAAATAACATTCCTTTGTATGTATATTCTACATTTCGTTATAGATATTTGGGTTGGGTTCCACTTTTTGACTATTGTAAATAATAGTGAACTTTTATTTATATTTTATTTTATTTATATATTTATTTATTTATAGCCACTGTGAACTTTGGTGTACAAATATCTGTTTGAATCCCTGCTTTCAGTTCCTTAGTATCTGCCCAGAAGTGTAATTCCTGGGTCATGTGATAATTCTGTTTCACTTTTTGAGGGATTGTCAAACTGTTTTTCATACCAGCTACATTTCTTTTATGTTCTTGGTAGTAGTCACAAAGGTTCCACTTTCTCCACATCCTCTGCAGTGCTTGTTATTTTCTATTCACAATAGCCATCCTAATGAGTGTGAAGTGGTATTACATTGTGTTTTCCCAAATGATGGTGATATTTAACATTTTCCATGCATTTATTGGCCATTTATATATCTTCTTGAAGAAATGCTTATTCAAGTCCTTTGCCCATGTTTTAATTGGCTTTAATTCTTGTTGAATTGTAGGACTTCTTTCTGCATTCTGGATATTAATTCCGTATCAAATATGTGATTTGCAAATATTTTCTCTCATTCTAAAGGTAGTATTTTCACTTTCTCATAGTATCCTTTGATGAACAGTTCTTAATTTTGATGAAGTCCAATTTATATATATTTTGTGTTGCTTGTGTTTTTGATGTCATAGCCACAAAATTGTTGCCAAATCCAATATCATTAAGATTTCCCCCAATGTTAACTGTCTTTTATTTATATTTAATTTTTCATCTGCATTATCTATGGAACCTTTCTCTTATATCAGAAATTTAATTTCTGTTCTCTTACATTTCAATTTCAAATTGCTTTGAGGTTTCTTTCTTTTTTTTTTTTAATAGGAAAAGGAACATAATAAATTTTACATGTTAAGGCACAGAAGTGTGAGACTTCATCATTGAATTTTAAGTTGAGTTGTAGTGACTTTTTTGTGAAAAAATTATATTTGTTCTTGGCTTCCTTTAGTTAGTTAGTTCTTTTTTTAATATTTGTTTTGTAGTTATAGATGGACAAAATATCTTTATTTTTATGTGGTGCTGAGGATTGAACCCAGTGCCTTGTGCATGCTAGGTGAGCACTCTACCTCTGCGCCTCAACCCCAGCCCCAGTTAATTAGTTCTTTAAAGTTATTGTCTTGAAAACCAATCTATTTCTTTAGTGTTGAAATTTCCCTTTTATTATCTTACTTCTGAGATTGTTTTACTGGATTATATTTGGATTTGATACTAATGTTTAAACACTTATGGATATTTTTCTTCTGTTCCTTGGTTATGCCTTTGTCTAAGATGAATTCCGAATGTATCAGCTATGATTTGAATGTGTCCCCCAAAGTTCATGTGCTGGATATTTGATTTGCAATGTGGAGGTGTTGGGAGGTAGGACATTTTAGAGATGTTTAGGTCATGAGGGCTGTATCTGAATAAATGGATTAATGCTATTATCATAGGATTGGATTACTAATATAAGGAGTATGGCCCCCTTTGGCACCCTGAACCCCTCACCCTCTTGCCTTCTGTCATGGGAAAATGCATCAAGAAATTGTTCACTGGAATCCCAGTGGCTCAGGAGGCTAAGCTGGAGAATCGAAGTTCAAAACCATCCTCAGCAAATTAGTGAGGTCTTAGATAACTTAGCAAGACTCTGTCTCAAAATAAATAAAAGGGCTGGGGATGTGACTCAGTGGTTGAGTACCCCTGGGTTCAATCCCTGGTAACCCCCCGACACCCCCAAAAACTGGTTGCTCACTGGATGCTGTAACTTAAATTTGTATTTTCTGGCCTCCAGAACTATGAGAAGTAAATTTCCATTTATTATAAATTACCCAGTCTCAGATAGTCTGTTATAATAGCATAAAGCCAACAAAGACAGTATTTTGGCGGGGGAGGGAAGCTTTTTCAGATTTATATTCTATATTCTCTGTATTTCTATGATACCCTGGTGGCAGAAGGGTTTAAAGTTGGATTGAAAGATAACTAGGTTAAGAATGTATATACTATCTTTTTTTTTCTTTTTGGGGGTACTAGGGATTTAATCCAGGTGCACTTTACCCAAGGGCCCTTACAACTAGCTACATCCTGAGCCCTCTTTATTTTTAATTTTTATTTTTTAATTATTTTTAGATATCATGACAGTAGAGTATATTTGGACATATTATATATGCATGGAGTATAACTTATTCTAATTAGGATCCCATTCTTGTGGTTGTATGTGATATGGAGTTTTACTAGTGGTGTATTCATATACAAACATAGGAAAGTTATATCTGATTCATTTTACCATCTTTTCTATTCCTATCCACCCTCCCTTTCCTTTATTCCCCTTTGTCTAAACCAGTGAATTCCTATTCTCCCCCTGCCCTTAATGTGTGTTAGCATCTAAATATCAGAAAGAACATTTGACTTTGGTGTTTGGGATTGGCTTTTTTTCACTTAGCATGATAATCTGCAGATCCATCCATTTACTGGCAAAATTGTAAAATCATTCTTTTTTATGGCTGAGTAATATTCCATTGTGTATATATACCACATTTTCTTTATCTGTTCATCTATTGAAGGGCATCTAGGTTGATTCCATAGCTTAGCTATTGTGGACTGAGCTTCTCCTAAACATTTACATATCAATGTGTCAATGTAATATATCCACATCAATTAACTGCATTAGTGTAGTATGCTGATTTTAAGTTCTTTGGTTTTATACCAAGGAGTGAGATAACTGGGTTAAATGGTGATTCCATTCCAAGTTTTCTGAGGAATCTCCATACTGCTTTCCAGAGTGGTTGCACCATTTTGCAGTCCCAGCAGCAATGTATCTTATTTAATAAAAAATTTTTTTTTTTTGGTATTGGGGATTGAACTCAGGGGCACTCAACCACTGAGCTACATGCTCAGCCTTATTTTGTATTTTATGTAGAGACAGGATCTCATTGAGTTATTTAGTGCCTTGTCAATGCTGAGGCTGGCTTTGAACTCCAGAACTTTGTATGGAGGCTATAATCCCTCAGCCTCCCGAGTTGCTGAGATTATAGGCGTGCACCACCATGCCCGGCCAATGTATTTTATTTTGAGACATGGTCTCACTATGTTTCTGAATCTCTTGCTAAATTTCTGAGGTTAACGTTGAATTTATGATCCTCCGTCTTAGCCTCCTCAGTCACTGGGATTTCAGGCATGCGTCACCACAGCTAGCCATATGTGATGTCGTTATTAGTTTTGTTTTTTGGTACTAGGGATTGAACCAACCTAGGGGCACTTAATCACTGATCCACATCCTGAGCCCTTTTTAATATTTTATTTAGAGACTGGGTCTTGCTGAATTTCTTAGGATCTCACTAAGTTGCTAAGGCTGGCTTTGAATTCAAGATCCTCCTGCCTCATCCTTCTGAGCCACTGGGATTACAGGTGTGCACCACTGCACCCAGCTGTCTTTATTAGTTTATGTGTGCACTCTTGTATATAAGGTTGGTTTCATTAAATATACTGTACTAGAATTCACTCCAAGTGGTTGGATTTGGGGATCTCTTATTTTATTTATTATACTTAGGAGCCATTTCCATTATATCACTGCAGCTTAGGTTAGGAATCTCATGGTGCTGAGTTCTCCCCTTTACCCCTGAATCTTATTTAACTCCTGATGATGAGCCCTTTTTTTAAAGTTTATGGCATTAGATTAGCCATGTACCTTTTTGTGTTGCATAACTGCTAAATTTGGTTCTTTATTACTGTTATTAGTTTTGTTTTTATTTTTATTTATTTTTCTATTATTGTTTCTTTAGATATTAGGGAATGGATTCTTCAAGGCAGTGTTTTTTTTTTTTTTTTCTTTCTTAATTCATAATTCCCCTTTACTTTTGTGGTTTAGGTTGCATTGAGGTCCCCCCGCCATACTGGGAATTGAACTCAGGAAGACTACCACTGAGCTATATCCCCACCCCTTTTTATTTTTTATTTTGAGACAAGATCTTGCTAAATTGCCCAGGCTGGCCTTGAACTTGCTGTCCTTTCTGCCTTAGCCTCTTGAGCCATTGGTATTACAGGTGTACGCCGCCACATTTGACTGCATTGAATTTTTAGTTGAGTTGTAGTCAGTTTTCTAAAGAACCAAGCTTTCAGTTGTCTTGAGCTTTTAATTATAAGATTCAAAATTTCTATCCCTCCTATAAGTGTATGGCTTCTTTTGAACCAGACTTTTAAAAACCTTTTTTTAAAAAAATCTTAATTTAAAAATAATTTTCAAATTCTAAAAGCATTTTTGGGGTAGGCACTAGTTACTTAGTTCAGTATTCAATAAGAACCACAAGTATGGAGGCTGTGAAAGCTTCTACTTTGGTCCCTCAATCACTATTTCTCTTCCCCACAGCAATAGTCATCCCTTTTTTATATCTTTCCAGTGATATTTTATAATAGTAGAAGCAAATACATAAATTATTTCCCATTTGTTTTAAAAAAATGGTAACATATATGTTCTTCTGCTTTTTGTTTTTCCACTTATTTGTTGTTAATGCCTTTTAAAATGTGAAGTATATTTTTATTTGGGGAAATTTTTAAAGGGCAAATAAAGAATAGACTGAAAAATGATTTAGTCATCAAGTAGAATAATATAGAAATTTTAAGATGAATGAACTAGATCCATACAGATAATTCTCAAAAATATAATGGATGTTGAAAGAAGCAAGGTGCAAAGGGATACTTATTGAAAATGCCATTTATGTGAATTTCAAAAACACGTCAGATGACACATATTATTTATAGACATATACCAGTGTAATACACAACATATAAAAGTGCATGGGAATGCTACAAAACAAATTCAGGATTGAGATCATTTCTGGGGAAAGTGGTAGAGCAAAATAATGTGGGGGGAATTTTGCTGTATATGTCATACTTTATTTTTAACCAAAGAGAGTTGTGAAGCAAACATGACCAAAGCTAATAACAAGTCTGGTTGCTTGGCACATGGATGTCATATTATTTAATTTACTTTTCTGTATATGTAAGCTAGTTCATAATTAAAGTAAAAGAAATAGGTAATATCTAGTATTCATTATAGGAAGTGTTAAATTGCAAAAAAGTAAAGATAAAAATAATGCATCTATAACCTCACCACTCCAAGACAAAACCCTTTGTAATATTTTATTATTTTTCTCTTCCATCTTTTATGCTAGGGCTATATGCAAATATCAGATGTATGTATTTTTACACAGTTGAAACCATACAAAATAAACATAATTTCTATTCTGCCTTTTTAAATTTTCTACTATACTCAATCATTTCCCCTTATTATTATTAGTTTTATAACCATCTCTTGTCATAAATATATAGAATCATTAAATATTAAATTGTGTGGATATTATTCAGTCACTTCTCTAACATTGAACATTTGGTTGCTTCTATTACAAATAATGATCCTTTGAGCATTTTTTTACGTAATGATTTTTGCTAAGAGTTTCACATGCCTACTGATTTGGACTTATCAATGTAGACAGATCTGTGCCCCATAGAGTAGTTAGGATTGATTTCTTATGTGTTTTTCCCCCATGGAAGATATTTTGTCCATGTAGTCATCAATATTGTTTTAATTATACAAGTATTATTATTAGAGTTCCTTGTAGGTGTTTGGTATGTTCTGGCAATACTGCAGAACTTTTTGCAAATAAAGGACATGATCTGGAAGATTGGAAGAGACTTGGATATTATGATGCATTAATGAAATTTGAAACATTTTTGAAGATTCAGATTGAAAAAATGGCTCTACCCACAGAGGAAAGTTAATAAATAAAAAAATTACCAATAGCATTTTCTAATTTTTAAAAATATATTTTAAAATTGTACTATTAGGTTTATTCCAGCATGTTAGGTGTTAAACTTATTAGATAATCATAAGTTGAAGATTTGATGTGTTTGATGTTTTATAATTTTATAGTGTAATAGTTTACCATGAATTTATTTTTTATTTTTCTTCATTATTAGGGATCAAACTTGAGCCTCACACATTTCTAAACAAGCCCTCTACCATGAAACTAGATCTCCTAGTAACTTCTTTTATATTTTTATCTGTGGTTTATTGTATCATGATTGTAATTCATCCTCTAAGAATATAATATAGTGGTATTTAAAAATGTTTAAATATTATCATTTTTAAGAGAAAAAATGCTGTTTTAATTTGTTTTTCTACATTTAAATTTTTCAGGGTCACAAGCCAATTCTGTTGAGAACCCAGTATCGTTGTCATCCTGCAATCAGTGCTATTGCCAATGATCTATTTTATGAAGGAAACCTCTTGAATGGTATTTCAGAGACAGAGAGGAGCCCTTTATTAGAGTGGCTACCCACCCTGTGTTTCTATAATGTTAAAGGACTGGAACAGGTAAATGACATTAGTGTTGAGGGAAGTCAACACGATTTAGTCTCTCCGTTTAATTTTATTGTTGTTTGTAGGTTTACTTGGTCTTTCCGTAGCCTTTCTGGGAAATATAATTTTGGTTCTGTTTCTTATTCCAGATTGAAAGAGATAACAGCTTTCATAATGTGGCAGAAGCTGCTTTTACTCTCAAGTTGATTCAATCATTGATAGCAAGTGGAATCGCCAGCCCTATGATTGGAGTGATAACATTATACAAATCCCAGATGTATAAGGTTTGTGTTACATATTATATTTGTCACATGTTAAGCATTATATTTATATATGACAATATTTAATATTACATTTGTAGTAGTTTGGTTTGCTTAAAAAACTTTTGTGACTGTAGTTTATATAGTAAAAAAGAAACATTCTGATTTTTTTTTTCTAGCCTGGCTTTTTTTGTGCATAATTAAATGTAAACCTAACAAGGTTTAATTAAATTCAGTTTACAGCTGTTGGGGCAAAATGCAAATAAACAAATTAGAGGGAAGAAAATATGGTGTATGCTTTGTGTTTTGAGACAGATCGGATTGAATCTGTTTTCTAAAATGTTCTCTCATTATTACTACATTTACCAGTAAGTCAAAGGTAGATACTAGATATTAATGTACACCTGAGCCAATTACTTCTAAGTAGATTTTTCTTTTAGTATTTTTTCTTTTTCATTGTTTGCTTATTTATGAGCTCTGAATTAGCATATCCAAATGAGTTTCCTAGCAATAGATAAGTAATTTTGTTTTGTTTCATAATTAACATTGTCATTTATCTATCATTTTAGAAAATATCTAGCCAAGTCTATGTAAGTCATGAAAGAGAAATGTTAGTTTAATTAAGATGGTGGCTGTGAGTAGGTCTGTAGATTTACCTTTTGCACTGTCTCTGCACTGCATGATTCTTGCCTTCTTTCCTCCACAGCTCTGTCATTTACTCAGTGCTGTGGACTTTGACCATCCTAATATTAAAAGTGTGCAGGTGTCCACAGTAGATGCTTTTCAGGGTGCTGAAAAGGAGATCATTATTCTTTCCTGTGTAAGGACAAGACAAGTAGGATTCATTGATTCAGAAAAACGAATGAATGTTGCATTGACCAGAGGAAAGAGGCATTTGTTGATTGTGGGAAATTTAGCCTGTTTGAGAAAAAACCGACTATGGGGGCGTGTGATCCAACATTGTGAAGGTAAAATAGAAATGTATTTCTTTCAAGCATTTTTTAATTAAAACTCTTGTGGGTTAATGTGTGGGATGGTTTGGGCAGGAATAGCTCTAGATTTGTCATTGTGGGAGAGAACTGGTATGATAATATGCAGACTACTATAAAATAAAGAATAATTGTCTCCTGTTTTGTATCTTTTTAAGGAAGTGAAAATGGATTGCAACATGCAAGCCAGTATGAACCCCACCTGAACCAGCTCCTTAAAGATTATTTTGAAAAACAAGCAGAAGAAAAACGGAGGAAAAAGACTGAAAAAGAAAAATCTAAAGATAAATCTCATTCACAAAAAGACATAATTTAGGAATTTTGTATTAATGTAAATTGATTCATTTTCAAAACTCTTGTAGGAAAAAATCTCTATAATATCTTAAAAACATGCTAAGTAAATACATCTAAAAATTCACTCTGCAAAAAAGAACATGCATTACTTATACTCAAATAAATGTTTTGTTTGCAAAAGAAATAAATTTTGACAGGGCATAGTGTTATATGCCTGTAATTCCAGGGTCTTGGGAGGTTGAGGCAGGAGGATCACAAGTTCAAAGCCAGCCTCAGCAATTTATTGATGCCCCAAGCAACTTAGCAAGACCCTGTCTTAAAAATAAAATATAAAAAGAACTAAGACTGTAGCTCAATAGTTAAGCAGCCCTGGCTTCAATCCCTGGTACTAAAAACAAACAAAAAAAGGAATTTTGCAAGGGGTAGTAAGAAGCCTTCCTGGGGAGTGCCAACACACTTCAGAAATACGTGAATATTTCAGAAGTTCATCTGTTGGACGCATCTGTACAAATACACCAACACACCCTTTTCTGAACTATTATTGTATTCTCATCTTTTAGAAATACAACATCCATCATTTTAAAAACAAAGACATTCACAATTACACTTTTAATAAGTACAAAAGAGAAGAAAGAAAAACACCAAAAGTTCACAGTTGGAGATGTGAACCAGGTAGCCAGTGCCCAGCACCATACCTGGTTGAGTAGCTGCTTAATAGGTATCCATTAGATGAATGAATGAATGATGAAAGACTGCCTTTGACTCACTTCCTTCTGGTCTTTCCCCTCTACATTTACTTGCACAGTAGTTATTGGTGTATATAATATATATGGATTAAAATTTTTTATTATAAAAATAACATTCTCCTTATATAAAATTCACAAAATACAGAAGAGTATTCAAGGGGGAACAAAATTACTTAGAATTTCACTAATCCACTATTCAGAGATAATGATTAACATAATGCTTCAGTCTTTCTATATTTATATTCTCTTCATATATCTGTATATATACATGTATATACATATATGTAGTTTTAAGCCCCTTAAGTTCATACTGTTTATTTTTATTTTTTTGGTACTGGGAATTGAACTCTGGGGCACTCGATCACTGAGCCACAACCCCAGCCCTATTTTGTATTTTTATTTAGAGACAGGTTCTCACTGAGTTGCTCAGTGCCTCACCGTTGCTGAGGTTGGCTTTGAACTCGTGTTCCTCCTGCCTCAGCCTCCTGAGCTGCTTGGATTATAGGCATGCGCCACCTGTGCCTGGTTTCATACTGATTTTTAGACAACATTAACAAAGGAACATTTATATACCCTAGGTGGAAAAAAAAAGGAAAGTTCTTGATTATAGTTAAAATCAAGTATTTGTCTTTACCAATTAAAAAAAAAAAAACAAAAACTCAGTGACCTAAGCCATTCAGTATTAATTTTAAAGATGCAGAAAATTGCTTCCTTGAGTTACTTTACAATAAAAAATTACCTGTTTATTTCCAGGGAACTCTTATGGTAGGGAGAAAAATTAATTCAACAAACAAAACTTGTGGTTTGGTAATTCTCTAAACCTTGTGTCAAATGTGTTGCTGAGCACAGTGAAGTCAAAGATGTAATTCTCAGCAAGTTCTTCCAGTGGGTAAGGAATAGGTGAAAGAAGTGTCAGAGCCATGGTTTCCCTTTGAGCTGTACAATAATGGATATTGAAACTGGATTCCCAAGCTTTGCTGCCCAAACTTCTCCTGTTCTTTATTTCTTAATTTTGAGTCTCTTCTTGGCCAGCTCGAGTGAGGTGTCAAGGTATTGTTTTCCCAACAAGATTGTGTAGATGATATATTGTTTTGAGCCTTTGTACATCTGAGGATGAATTTCTGTTACATATACTTAAGGGAACTGTCTTAACACTGAGAATATCTTTGGCCTCATTTTCTGTTCATTTGGAGGAGAGTTGAATTTGCATCTGTAGCTGTACAGCTGTTTGCACAGCTTATCTAGAACTGCTCAAAGACCAATAAGATTTTTCACCCTTGTGCTGTTCTTCCTTCTCCTCTGCCTCTTGTTTTGTCAATTTTCCAGAAATTGCAGTTTGTACAACATTTTAGGAACAATTTAGGTCTTGATGGTATAGAGCTGGATTTCTCAACTTTGGCACTTTTGACATTTTGGGCCAGATGATTCTTGTAGACATCTGTCCTGTGCCTCACAAGTTGTTTAGCAGCATCCCCAGCTTCTGCCCTCAAGCTGTCAGTAGCTCCTTACACCCAAGTTGTGACAATGAAAAAAATGTCTTCAGATATTGCCAAATATCCTGGTGTAGAGCCAATGGGCCCAGCATTCCATCTGTCTCAAGAAGCAGCAACTGGGCAGGCACAGCAGTGCATGACTGCAATCCTATCCACTCTGGAAGTGAAAGCAGGAGGATCACAAGTTTGAGGCCAGCCTGGGCAACTTAGCAAGACCCTACCTCAAAATAAAAAGGTTGTGGGAGTGGAGGTTGTAGCTTAGGAGTAAAGCACCTCAGTTCAAGCCCCAGTACTGGAATGGAGGGAGGCAAAAGCAACTGCACTTAAAAGTATGGCTGCCTCCATGTTTTAGTTGGTATAAACTTTTTTTTTTTTTAAATCCACACAACAATTAAAAAAGAAGAACAAGGGATATTTTGATTTGTTTCATTTTTAAAATTTTTAGATAAGCATATACCTGCTTTGTTTCTGATGGCATTGTACAAGTAGTCCACCAATTGTTTTCAATTCATCCTCCAGGCAATTCATGATTATTTCTCTCAACTTGTAACAATAGATCAGCTATAAAGGTCAAATATATTTATCTTATGTGTCTTCATTTTTTTTTAATATGAAATCTTTTTTTTTTCTCCTTCAATATTGGGTATTGAACCTATGGTCTTACACATGGTAGGCAAGTGATCTACCACTGAATTACATTCTCAATCCTGTTTTAAAAAATTTATTTTGAGTCTGGTCTCACTAAGTTGGCCCAAGTTGGTCTTGAACTCATGATCCTCCTGACTCAGCCTCCCAAGTAGCTGGGATCACAGATGTTCACCATCATGCCTAGCTTTCTGAAACCTTTTAAAATGGGAACACATTGAAATCTTTAAAAGAATATCCCACTTAACAATATTCTTGTTTATAACATAAGAAGTTAATACAAATATGTTGTAGTAGATGGCCAAGAAATTGATAATATACTGTAATTTGTGCTAATGGGTTTTATCTTTTGACTACATATCTGTTTTTTCCTTTTTTCTATTTTGTAGTATAATTACAACAAGTCTTTCAGAATTGCTTCTGGCCTAAACCTTTTCATTCTTTCTAGTCCACTTACATAGTCACTATAACAAGCCCTCTTTTGGACTAGACACTTTAGAAGGAAAAAAGAAGTAATGGTGATATGGGGGTGGGAGTGAGGGAAAAGATGAAAATGGCTTAGTTCCTGTTCCTTTGCCTCCCCCATTCCCTTACCTCATGGTAGAGATTTGCTCTTCAGGCTTCCTTACTCTCTAGGTAGACTTGTCTTATACTGGATATGGTATTGGTGGTTTCAGTTTTCCTCTCTTCCATCCTGCAGGGAGACTAGTAGAATTCGGTTACAGAATGTTACCCCAAGGTGTAATGTCTACTGCAGCAGGCCTTGCTTTATATCTAGTGATCAAATCATGCAATGGGATGTTGTCTCATTCCCTGTCTATCAGAACCTAAGCTTTCACTCATTCCTTTTCCCCAGGACTATTACAATAGAAATGAGGTAAGGGTGCTCATTTCTTCAAACACCCAGTTAGAAGCAGAGGATCTATTGGCTCATCTACTTTATTACTCTTAGAGATTAATAAATCAAAACATTCTTCTGACTGGGTAGTGTTGACTATTCCTGAGTTGTCTTTGGTTTATCATGTATTTTGAGTGAAAATGTACTTATCTGAGCCCTGAATATTATTATTTATATTTTTCAAGAAGAAAAAGACCTTAGTATTTGACATAGAAAAATCTACCCCCAATCCAGGCTAACACATTCCTTATGTCTTTTGCCTGAAATTCCAAGGTTGGATATACACAAATTGAACTTTAAGGGGTATCCCTTTCAATGAACAATCAAAACATTAAAGTCTCTAGTGATTTACAATATATTGAAAATAATAAGTCAGTTTTACAATAATAGCCATTAAATAGCTATAAATAAAATCTTGAAACCCTACCATCTTGTGTTCAATAAACAATAGGATTATATAAGAATGTTCTGAAGCTGTTATTTATAGAAAAAGTATTAGTTTATGCATCACATAGCAAAACTGAAATTTCTAGGCTTTGTTTTAATATCATCTTCAATTGCCTTTATATGGTATATATTTTGGGTTTGGTTTTTTCCAAACCACCAAGTATTTCCTGCAATTCATAATGATTAAAAAAAAATCAGAGAAATTGAAGTGATCCATTTAATCTTCCACAACTAGTATGAGGCAAGGCTGGAACCCAGGCTAATCCAACTTGGAGGTGAAGCTACAACTCACCACCTGCATTTATCAAAGGGTGATAGACATGGCACCAAAAATCTGACAATCCTCTTTGACCCAATCAAACTCATGTTCTGATACTTTACCTTGGTTAATTTAGGATTTAATGATTGAGTAACAATTTGTTTGAACAATCCATATGACAAAGAATAAGCTCTTTGAACATCTACATTCGCTACTGGATCTGGTATGCTACTTAATGCAAGAAAAGTTATTTTTAAAATTTTATTTTTACTTATATTATTAATTTTAATTTTTTATTTTACAGTGCTAGGGACATCTATTTCAAAATTGGAGTTGTCTTTGAAAAATAATAAAATCTGAGATTAGCTCAGCTTAAAACTTCAAAATAAAACATAATTATTGCTCTTTTATATTTAGACAAAAAAGAATATTTAATTTGGAGTTACCAAGGCAAACCCCAAATGCTTCATGTTCTTGACTATGGTTTAGTTTAAAGACAGCTGTGAAATAGCTTTATACTAATAAGATTTTTTATATTAAATAAGAATGAACTGGAAATTGGTGATTTACTTGGCAGATATTGGACTTGAAAATGAAATAATTGTTCTAAAAACATTAGATCAACACTGA